ATAATAACATAGCTGACATGACAGTTTCAGTCTGCTCACAAGTATCAGGATGAATATTCCAGCATTTCCCAGACCTTTCTGAATTGCAGTAATCCAAAGGACTGGGACAGGAATCAAACTCAGACATCACATTCAGCTTCTGTAAAGTGGTAACAAACTGAAAACAGTCAACCTGGTTTCCCAAACAAGATATGAGATCACTCACAGAAACAGAGCTGAAATCTCTTTCAGAACTTCTTTGTTACTATTTCCCATAATTGCTTGCATACCCAGAAGTGACTCTTTCTTGCAGCATTTCTAGGCTAAGGGAGGTGTACTGCTTAGTGACAACTGCTAACTCCTAACCTGTGAATGTCAGGACATCCACAGCCTTCTCCATTAGTTGTCCGGCTTCCTCTTGCAATATAAAAACCAGAACTTTTCCAGCTTCCTTCTATTCAAGAAATCAAACAGCATCTGATCAGCCATTTGGCAGATTCAATGGAGGTCACTCTTCAATTCTGTTTTTCTAGTGATGTCTGGCCCTTCCCTCTATTTTATATATACTGAAAGATGTCCTGACTCCTGGCCTCCTGCAGGTTTCATGTGGAGAGTTCAGTACTCACCAGGCCTCAGTTCTATACAATGATTAGAAGGTAAAAATCTTGTGCATCAATATAAAACTTTCCCTACAGCAAAAAGGAGATGTGGCAGTTACATCATTCGAATTCTTGTATTTATATTCAGACAATTTCACAATAATCCATAAAATCCACTCCAGCTTACTCAAAAGGACTTATTAGCCAGAGGAAACAAAGCCCATAAAGGTTGACAGGCTGAGCAGAACTTCAATAAACTCTGATGTCTGCACTGGGACAAAGAATTGTGTAAACCCAACTGGCTCCGAATCTTAATAGAGCATCTGTCATTACTCAGCCACCAAGAGCTGAGGCTATTGGGTTCCCATCACTCTATCCTAGACCTTCATTAAAAGGTCACCTTGTTCAAGATGGAGCTGGACAAACAGAAACACTGGAAAGCCTGTGTGAAATGAATCAACAGCCTAATTGCTCTGGATAACTGTTTGTATAACATGCCCTCTGAAAGTCAGAAGAGTCCCGAAGACTGCTTCCTTTAGGCACCAGTACAGGTCATCACCTCAGCACTTTCTTCCACACTTTTGACAAGATCTCTTTTAGACCGATGCTGTATTTTTTCTGATTTTGGTTGGGGTCTGAACAACATCAGGCCTGGAAAAGTAAGATTTCTTCCATTTCTCTTCTCTCTGACGAGTTTATGCTAGAAATGTAACCCCATTAAGAGAGATTGTGACTAAATCCCAAAGACAATATCAAAGCAGTGCTGGTTCTTCAACCAGTATCAATAAAATAATGCGCCCTGTTAAAGAAGACCTGTTACTTTGATTTTTCAAGCTTGGTCTTTGATTTCTTCCCTTTCTCAGAAATCCAATTACTCATTCTTATTTTCCCACTGCTGATGTAAGACAGTATCTTGAATCCCTTTTGTTCTTTTTAATCATATTTATTTCTTCTATTAGATATTGTGGTGAACTTTCAGCTCCCGAGTCTTTGAAGCTGTTTTCTGACATTTTTATGGCCTATCCATAGACAGATGGAAAGATGACCAAGAACCTCTTAGATCTTTCTATTTCTATTACTCAGTAATTATTTTTCTTACCTATTTTGCTGGGCAGTTCCTATTTCAAACAAGAAACCTTGCAAAGAAGGATTTAAAATTGACTGCCGTGGCAACAAGGCAGACAGGTCTACAGAAATACTTAGTCTAGACCCTACTGAAAGCATTACAAAAAGGGCCTCAAAGAATTTATTTGGGAGAAGAATCAGACAGTACTACATTTTATGGCAGTTAGCCATATTAGCTTGTTTTCTTTTGGTGAGGGTTCCTTTCCCTTAGCTTCAGTGCAGACTGAGAATTCCAAAAGGAAAATATACTGTTGTGGAATAAATATAATCTAATCATGTGATAGGAAAGTATTTTTGTGTAGTCAAACACAACATGGTAATAAAAATAAAGGAAAATATTTAGTAGGTACTATGTGAAGATATATAAAACATCTCAACAGCCAGAGCAATGGTTTGGAAGTAATCTCCTCTTCCTTGTGGAAGTACCTTTTGTATACTGGAGGGGCCCAAGAGTAAATTACAGTAGATTTAGGAACACAAACTATTTTCACTGTATTTGTTCAATTCTTTGAAATTAATCTCAGATACAACAAAACAACCTTTGAAACTGCTTATAAGATATGGATTTATCCAGATAACTGGATTATATATACATTACATTCCAACCACACTGTGTCTTTCAAGCAACTGAAGAAGCTCTGTACTAAGGAAATCCATATAATATACCATTTACTGGCACAAAAAAACCAAGATACAGTGGTTGGAGAAATCATCAGAGGAAAACTGTGACAGCACAGTTGTAAATATGTAATATTTACAACTATGTAAACAAAGGAATACTGAGTGAGAAAATGGTGTAGGAAGAAGACAGTGTTCCCCATGGGGAGAAAAAAAAAAGTCTGGCAAAATAAAGATTACAAGAAAGATGGGAAAAAAGATTTATCATCAAACAACAACAACAAAAATACACAAAACTTTTCAGCCTTTGGGAGGAAGTCAGATTTTGCTGATTTCACAGATAGAATGAAAAACTCAGAACACAGTTATCTCACTTCAGTATTTCTGTTTGTCAGAGTTAACATTAGAAAATGACTGAGGAGGTGGAGAGACAGGAGGTCAGGTAGTGTGGGTGTCAAGAAGGATGGAAAAATAAAAGAACTTGCAGCAGTCGAACAGGCAATGAGTGTCTGCTGAGGCTGCCACATCCTTTCAAATAAAAAAGAATAGCAAGATTTTAACACGCTGTTTTTGAAAGACACTTGCCTCCCATGTAATAATAATAATAACTCAGAAGGCAGTAGATTTTAAAAGAGTGATTTCCAGAATTTCTGAAATAGATGAAGTCTTGACCTCAATAATAAGATTTTACCCTTGCTGCTTGCTATAGAATTCCGCATAATACCAGGCAAATCACCTACAATTAATGTTCTTACAGGTGGCCACTAATTGCATGATTTTCTTTTTCTAATCTTCAGTTGGGAGTCTGGGATCTGGTTTGCAGAAATAGTAAGTATTTACAGCTGTGGCTCATTAAAGACTCTGAAGTTATTTAAGGCCAAGTACAGCCAACTTTGCCTGGAACAGGACCACCTGAGACAAACTGACTGACTGACTCAACTTGCCCAATATTTCCAGAGTTGTTTTTTTTCCCGTGTCTATGTGAAACTAAAAAAATCTGTGCTATAAAGATTTTCATTTAAAAAGAGGAAAAGTCAGAATGTAATACCTTATTTCCAATCTAGGTGAAGATCAACCCCACATTTACTATGGTATGGATTAAATAAATAAGAAAGTATCTAGAAGACAGAAGTTTTTTTCATTTAGCAAAATACCATATAATATCTAGCATATTCTCAAATAATTTTGTAATCTTTTTTGTATGTGCCACTTTTAACCACCTCATTTTATATTTGATAGCTAATAGGCCCTAGTTTAGAAAAATCTTTAATACAGAGCTTTGTGACAATCAGACTTCTTATCCAGCACAGTAGCAGATTAAGCAGTGTTCCTCTTTCTTATAATGTCTACTCTATTTATTTTATGTTCTGACAAATTCAATACAGGAATAAAAGGATCCAATTTTCACTAAAGCAAAGGCTACAACTCCAGAGGCTACAACTTCTCTATCCAAAGAAACAGGGATAAAATGAGGAAATAGATGCAAGAGACTCTCACAATGCTTTATGGTTGAGCGTGAAGTCAAGCCCTCAATTCAACATGACATGCAAGTGTATACTTATCTGTGATGTTATGAGCCATCCCAGTGACAAAAGGCTATACTGTATCTGGAGTTAATTGTGTGTTTAAATATGTGTTGAATCAAAAACCTGATATATCCCTCTACTCTGCTCTTGTGAGACCCTACTTGGAGTATTGTGTACAGTTCTGGTGTCCCCAACTTAAGAAGGGCATGGAGTTGTTGGAGCAAGTCCAGAGGAGGGCCACGAGGATAACAAGGGGGCTGGAGCACCTCCCTTATGAAGACAGGCTGAGAAAGTTGGGGCTGTTCAGCCTGGAGAAGAGAAGCTGTGTGCAGACCTCATAGCAGCCTTCCAGTATCTGAAGGATGCCAGAGAGGGACTCTTCATTGGGGACTGTAGTGATAGGACAAGGGGTAATGGGTTCAGATTTAAATAGGGGAGATTTAGGTTGGTTATAAGGAATTGTGAGGGTGGTGAGGCACTGGCACAGATTGCCCAAAGAAGTGATGAATGCCCCACCCCTGGCAGTGTTCAAGACCAAGTCGGACAGGGCCTTGAACAACCTGGTTTAGTGGAAAGTGTTTGTGTTAAGGTCCTTTCCAATCCAAACCATTCTATGATTCTATGTATACTTCATCACTGGTGTAAAATATTAATCAAGTATTTTCCAAAGACTGGGTAAAAAGGCTCTTTAAATCTGAGCATCAGGTCCCACCAACCTCTTAATTCAGAAGGGGCATGAGATTCTACGGATAGTTCTGCCCTGCACTTTAGGTGTGGTGCCACACCCAGACTTGCTGGGAAAAGACAGGAGAATAGGAGGAAAGCTGATGAATCATCAGTGTCCTGAATCAGCCACAAGTGGCAATATTCCTCTTAAAGCCTCATCTGCTCTCCTGCCTTCTCCCTCCCAACACACACATATACACAGTCACTCACCCCTTAACTCAGATTGCAGCTAAATGCCACAATTCATAATCTCTCTGTTGCAGTCAAAATTTGTACTTTTTGTAATTCCTAATGTTTTTGTTTCCCCAGTTTATCTAGGGCAATTTTACAGACTACTTTTAATCTACTAAGTCCATTTTAACCCACTGACTACAGTTATACATATGCAATGAAAGAACAGCCCCATGTCATGCCTGCACAGGCTAACTCACCCTGGCTGCGTGTCATCGGTCACACAATGGTATGTAAAAGTTCCAAACATCTGCACTCCCAGGATCCCATACAGGAGAAGAAAGAACAGAAGGAAAATTGAAACACTCCAGATTTGCTCTCCAGAACGCCTGGCAAAAAGATAAACATGACACTGAATGCACAGGCAACATGAAGCCTCCTCTGAAAAGCTCCAGAATACATAACATGCTCATACAGAGAAAATTTGTCCTTAAACCTGTCCTCTTAACTCTGTGCAGAGATAGAAAGGGGAGTCACGATTTTTTTCTAAACCCATAAGTTAAGGTAATTAAATCAGCTATAAACTGAAAAGGGTGGAAGGAAAAAGAAAACCCACAAAAAATGCATAAATCTAGCTTTTGTAAAACAGCATCTAATGACTTCTACAGACAAAATGCAATGATGAAGTTGATACCAAATATAGACCAAAAACCTTTCATATTATCATTACATGGCTTTTGCTGTTACATGCTGTACCGAACATACTCAGGTGTATTTGTTTGCATGTAAGCACCTCCGTACATATACCAATAAATGTGCACTCGTAACTCTAATGGTCAGGGCACATGCTCATGTACTTTATTTACCCTACTAGGACTGTTCACCTTGATTACTCAGTGTCCATATTAATGGAACAGAACTCACTGCCGTTGGTTGAAAATTGCTGGCTACAGTTATTAGCAACAAGCTTTAGGATTTCTTTAAATATTTGATCATTTTCTAGGAAACTTGATGATTCCTTAAACAGGGAAACAGCAAGAATTTTTTGGCCAGAACTAAAACTCAGGAAGAATACACCCACTAAGCATGAAAGATCATTTTCTAAGCTACACAGTCAGTCTTCTAAGTTAAAACTGAAATTTCCTCTGGTGTTATTCAGGTAAGAGCCTTACTTACTTCAAGATATTTGTTATCCTAGTTCTTGGCAGCTCAAAACGGAAATATATCCGGAATGCTCGAATCATAATAAGTGGTCGTGGAATCCGTAACATGCCCCATGGTGACATCTGGTCAACTATTTCAGCAATTTCAAACACCTATAAACAAAAGAATTGGGAGTTTTTCTGGATGATCCTGTGCTTTTCCTGTATTCATTTACAGAACTTTTGCAACTACGAACACTATACATGATTTTTATTTTCATTCTCAAACTTCTTTTGGTTTATTTTATGGTTCATGTTAACCATGTTTTCTTAAAAGACTTAATGAATCTTTTAATGCATTTCTAAGTTATCCCAGTGAAACTCCAAAACTATACTCTGCCTATGTTCATAATGCTTCTGTCTCAAACAACTCAAGATGACTGTGGAAGGTTGTGTCATCTGCCTGATATTGTGCTATTCCTACCCCATGAGTTTCCCACAACCTTGATAAAAGTGAATAATTCACATTTCTAAATATGGAAATCAGTATCTGCTTGCGTTGCACACCACTAAGGTTTTACTACAATATAAAAGTACACGTACATATATACATAGCTCACCTTATGAGCTGCAATATGCTTATAAATTCTCCATTTAATTCCAAGTGTGTGAGAAAACTGAACGTGTTCTTCTCCTACACTCCATTTACAACACGAATTTCAGCCAAGCCACAGCACAGGAAACCATCTCCTTAATACACTGACAGGTTAAGCACTCCATGAAGACTATTAAGCTCAATGATTGGGCAAAAATGTCTTGTTTTTAATCCCTGTCTCTCACTCTCTGACAATAACTACTTAATTTAACATTTCTTCAAAGTACTAAGAAAATGGAGGGGGAACCTGGCACATCTGACAGTGCTTATCTGTAATGATCAACTGTCACTCTGCATGTGTACGTGATGTACCAAAGTTTCCCCTGTGTTTAAAGTAGAAAATTATGTGTCTTAAGTTTGTCAGAAGTGGATAAGTTATGCCTAACGGCAATCACTACAGAACTTTTACAATCCTTACACTATCGCAAGCCCAGTCTCAGAGTCTTCAATCTGTTCTTACCCAAAACACTGGCTATTGGTAAAGACTGACTGGTTTGCAGGACACGATTTGACGTCTACTTTAACAGTCTACACATTTCTGCAACATATCCAAGTTCTCTTCTTTATGAAAATGTATCAAATTATTTCCAAATGTATTAATTATTATTTTTTCCATTGTGCTTTAACTTGACTTTTGGAAAAGGTCCATATTCCATGAAAAGGACCATATTCCATGAAACCCCTCCGCTCACCGTATCAATATGCCAACAGCATGGCAAATATCTAACACAGCAATCATTCTCTCTTTGATTGCCTAAGCTAGGACTCAGTGGAAGGTCTTTCATATGGAGCTGAGAGATAAATGGCTCTCTGAAGACCCTTCTCTCTCCTTTTGACTATGCAGAGAGTTTATGGTAACAAGCTTCAGCTTAATGTTTAACGTCTCAGTAAGAAAAATCAATCAAGATAAATTTTACCTCTAATGTAGATATACTGCAATGTGCAATTATGGAGCCATTGAATTCAGCACAGTTTTTTTAAAACAATTTGACCCATGTACTGCAGAAGCTATACTTCTGCAACTCGTAATCACTTGGTTGCACCATCTATTTTTCACAATTAAAGAACTACTCATTGAAAAAGACTAGTGAATAATTACCTGTAAAACCAGTGACACCCAAAGACAAAAGACCATGAATCCATCAAACACACACCAACGATCCTTTACATAGGAGCTATCACCCTACAAGACAGAGAAAAAGCTAAGAGATTAATTGTTTACTGTCAGGATTTACAAATATCATAAACAAAAGTTCTTGGAAAAAGGAAAAGTTGTCTTTATACCACATTTAAAATGCCATTTTTGAAAGACTCCAAAAGCCTAGTATCTGGACTACAATATGCTGGAAACGTATAAACACATCTTCTGTGTGGAAGTGTATCTCAGGGCACATAAACACCCCTTTCTCAATGAGGTTTTCTCCCAACAGATTGAACATATCCTCCCCTACCTTAAACATTCTCCGGTTCCTTTTCTTAGTTTAGTATTCTGTGAGATACAAACTACAGTGTTTGACATCCACTTTGGGGAAAAAATTCTTCTTGCATCTCAAGAACCTTAAAAACATTATGAGACTTTGGCCTGCTAAGCAATTCCTGGCTTGATACACATTGTTTCTTATCTCAGTGATAGTTATTTCAGTCAACCTGTACTTGTTTTCACATGTCTCAGCATTTTCATTGATTCTAAAAGCACAGACAAGATGTTTTGTTTTCATCTAATATTTTCAATGACATATACTATCCTAAAATTGATTTATCATTCCCTGCAGTAGGTGACAGCAAGATATATTGTGTAAATAGAGACAAAATATGGTGGGGTTTTTTTTTAAAAAAAAAGCTTTATTTCAGTTGCAAAAATTCTTTCAGGCAGAAGTAGACAAAGTAAGGACATCATGAAAATACAGTAAGTGATTTTCAACTCAGAAATAAAGGACAGAGAACTTCAATATTATTTTCAGACAGAGGATCTTGTAACGTGTAAGGATATTAAAGTTCTCAATCCAAGAATTAAGACCAAGAAGACTGCAGATCAGCGAAACAACAGAGCAGGAACTTTTACTTCATATTTTTAACCCATCCTTCCTGAAGAAAGCACTTAGTTCCCTAAGTAAAGTCTGAGCTAATCAGTACTCAAGCCTGAACAAACACAGTTGTTTCAGTGGTTATGGTCAGTAACCTTGAAGCAGATAGATACACGCTGCTTACCTGAACAGATCTGCTACCAGCACCCTACCTCTCACCCTCACTCATCTCCCTCTCTTTCCTCTTTCTGAACAAATCTTGTATGAGATTTGTATCAACATGCAACTTGAGTCCTTCAATTGTGGCTCTGAACAAAGCTGGTGATTGGGCTTTCTGTTGCTGAAGAAGCCTTCGAAACTTACTTTTCTTCTCTCAAGCACCCTTTGTCTAAAGCAAGAAGTTTTCCCTGGGTTGTGCTGTACAGATCTGAGCATGAACTTGTGCAGGAATTCCTGTATTCACCCTTCTCTGAATAACCTGTCAAGTACTCACTAAAAGCCAAATCTTTTTTTAGAAATTGCTTTTTCTCTCCACAATAGGTGTGGCATGATTGAAGCAGCTCGGCTGTTTTCTCCTTACAAAGGAAGATGTCATGACCCTTTTCAGTGCTCTCACCAGTCAAGCAGCTCCACCACCTCACTTCTCTCATAGTCACATCAGGCCAGCTTCCACAGCTATATGCTCCTGGTCAGGGAGGCTTCCAGTGGATCACTCACAGAAACTTAGGGCACCTGAATTACATCTGTAAAAACTACTCATTTTAGGGAACGCTCTGGCCCTTTGTGCTTTGCATGTAGGGAGCAAATCCTTTTCACGTCTGTTATTTGGCTGGCAGTAGAGATATGGTGGGGTATCTTTAATGCATTTATACTGTGTATTGGCATATGAGATGTTATTTACTGTGGGAAGCAATTTTAAGGCAGGATCACATGCTGCTTAATGCACCAAAAATCAGAATACGCTTTTTAGTATGAACCTTGATATTGACATCTAGTGCTACTTCCATTTAAAATCTAATTCTGACTAAACACAGGCTAGAACTCAATATTGACAGCAATGAACTGAGTTTCATTCACATTTGGAAAAAGCCTTGGGCTGAAATTCCAGACTCATGGTCAATGGCAGCCTTTGTTAGACTTGAAAAGAAATACAGATACATGAAATTTAAATACATCTGGTGACATCTTACCTAAACCAGCTAAATACCTAATGAATTGCAACAATGTTAATCTCTCATCCTTTTTTCATCACATCTGCTGAAATTTGAGAATTACTGATGAGTTTTGTTTCAGCATTTTTTTGTGAATGCACTATCCCAGACCATTTACATTATGGTTTTAAGTCTTTGAAACGTGATCTAAACATTTGAAAAAGATGAAGGGTTAGTACTGCAGACTAGAAATCTCATGCTGAGACTAATCCAAACCTCTTAACGTCATTAAAGAAGTTGCTGACTCCCTACTGCCTACAGTAGACAGTGGATTCTTTAATGCACACAGCAAGACCTGAAAACTTCTCCAGCAACATGACTTACTATCTAGACAACAAAATCATTTGCTTGTGACAGAGCAGTGGGTGCCAGTCTACTTACACGGTCCACGACTGCAGGCTTGGAACAGCCTTTGGAAGGCTTCTGCACCCTCACTTAATGCCTATCCCAGGCAGTCTAAGGGGCACTACTTGAACTCACTGGACTAGCTAACTAACAGCTATTGAAGTCCAACACAGCAACACTGCTTAGCTGTTAGATGGATCAATCTTTTCTTTGTTAATTAGAGAACTATTCACTGTTTTGTAATACCCTTCCTAGTCTCCACAGACAGCTTTTCCTAATACGCTTCTGTCTTTTTTTTATTTATAGCAGGTGAGCATCACTGTTAGTACACAATGATGGAAACGGCTTTCTTGGTAAATCACACATGTGGAAAGGACCAGAAGTCTGCCTTGCTCTTAGGAGATGCTAATCTGGATTAATCGGAAATTTGATATCTCAGAAGAACAGACAAGCTTGACATAACAGTCTGTAATTAAAATATTCTCTGCCTCATAAATTAACTTAATTTTCTATGGCAATGTTGTCATAACTAAGGAAGAATACTTCAAGTTCAGCATAAACACTTAATGTTTCTTTGTCTATTCAAATACAGGACCAATGAATAAATCTCCTCCTTTCTCCCTACATTCAGCTTATTTCACTAGGTTTTGCCTAATTTTAGTACCATTACATTAACTGGGTACAATGTATTAGCTCATTTCTTCATTTTCATTTTGACATGCAATACTGGTACTCCGATAACAGCACTGAGATTCCCAAAGATACATTTTCTCAAGTGTAACCAGCACATTAAAGATAAAACGCCAATTGCCAGTATTAGGTGCTCTAAATAGTCATTACACAAGTTCACAGAAAAAAACAATTTCGTAAGACCTAACTGGAAATGTGATCCAATACAAAATACAGACAGAACCACAGGCAGAAGTAATAATGCCTGAGGTAGTCACTCCATGAGAGCCATTACTGTTACATTACAGTTACATTAGAATGGAAGACAAGCCAGATTAAATTTTTTAATAAAAGTACATTCCTTTATCAACATTGCTGAAAGCAAAATACTCTACAAAATCAACATCTGAATTGCATAAAGCAATCTGCTAGAAGATTGATTATGTCTACTAAATTTGTTAGGCAATTTCAGTATCTCATTATTAAGGTAGGCATCTTAGCTGGATGACAGCACAGTCACCTCTTAGGTCATTTCTGCCCTGCTTATCTCTCAACATCTCAGGAACACTCAGAATGAACAGCAAATATCCCTGCAAGTGGAAAGCCTACTCCACCTCCCTGCTTGCCTTCAGGAATCTCTTTTTCTCTCTCATCTCTGACTATAACCTGTTCCCTGAATTCTTCCCTCTCACCTCTGACTATAACCTGTTCCCTGAATTCTTCCCTCTCACCTCTTTCTACATGCCTCTGTGGAAAAACTGAACAAAAGAAGTGATATGACATTTGCCCTGAGCAATTAAATTTATCATCATCTGCTCTGGAAAGGAGTCCCAGAGTCTTGGGTCTGTCATTAGGAAAACCTTAGTCTCCCACTTTTCCTCACAGTCTCTGACAAACAGGATAGCTGAAAGACGGTACAAACATGAGGAGATCAGCAAGTTCAGTACCAGCTACTTTGCTGTTCTATCATGGTCGCTGGACGCTGCATGTGGTTTGGTAGATAATGCCCATCAACAACTCCAGCAAATTTTTCAGATCACCCTGTGGGCTCCTTTCCGTAGCACTACAAATAAGCATTTAGGGGTGGAGGCTGACATTTACTGGCATTTTTGGAGCAGCATAAATGCACAGGAGGAAACAGAGGGAATAGAGGGAATCAGAATTCGGGAGTATAATTTTTTCCCCCTATGCTATGCTTATTATAACATAAAAAGAACAAACTAGAAGAGGGCACAGCTGAGTCAGCGAAACAAGACCCACCCTCTCTCCCCCCATTCCCTTTCTCCACACAAACACCACAGGGCACACAGGTGGGAGTGGGACAGAAAATGAAATCAGAGCTCAAGGGATTGCCTAACCTCTTTCTCCCCCTGCAAATACAGATAAATATATACATACATGATAACAGGCTATGTATCTTCTACCTAGTCACACCTACATGTATGTTTCTGGCTCAACTTTAAACCTTCCCTATTTCCTTAAAACCCTGCAGTTTACAGGTCTGTTCAGTAGCAGAATGATGTGGATAACCCAGCCCTCAACTGTCAAATACTGTCAACATTTTCCTTACGCAGAAAAGAGAATGAAGAGATACAGCCTAATCAAGAAGAAAAGCTGCCTCTGACTTCTGTTCTGAATTCTCCTCTTCCATTCCCCCAAAACAAAAATATTTCTCAAATGTGCTCATGCGTCAAACATTAGTCCCTTTCTTCCTCCTTCTGAGATTTGAAATTTCTTAGCTTATTTGGGTACTGGTTGAAGCAGGACCTCAGACCAACAGACAACTCTCAACCACACTACCTACTACAAAAGTCCATCTTTTACTCTGTGTGACACAAAACAAACACTAAAAAACAATCCTAGAATGGGTTGGTTGGAAAGGACATTAAGATCATCTAGTTCCAACCCCCTGCCATGGGCAGGTACACCTTCCA